GTATAATAATCTGCTTATATTAATTTGCTTGCTTTTCCCTTGTATTTGTTTCTTACCTGGGCAGTTTTTCTGAGATAGGATGGACTTAAAATCAATTTTTTAATGTTTAGGTGTCAGGTGGATTCTCTCTTAAATTCATCACACTACTTTTTCATGCTTATTGCAAGCTAAAAATCTTAAGAGGCTCTTTTACCAAGCAGGCATCCCTGAGGACCAATCTTAACAGATCTCTGAGGGCAAACAAAACTTAACCCTACAGAGAATGCTGGCTCCTCATGAGAGAGGGTTCCTTGGTGCTTTTAGAATATGATTAAGGGAGGCCTCTGAGACCTGATGTAAATCCCAAAAAGAGTTTTCTTCCTTAACCACTAAACCTGAATAAATCTGAATAGAAGATGAACTTATTTTTAAGGGGTGGAGGGGATGTCTTCAAAACATCCTTCACTTTATATCTACATCTCAGCATGTAGTAGGTAACATCTCACTGATGGAGCAGGTGCTTGAAGAACTTTCTCACACAAAAAGCCTTCTGAAAATAGTTGCAATACATCCAACAACATTCACCTGCAAACAACCTGTGCCTGAATAAGTCATCACCTGCAGCACCTGTTTGGAGGCCCTCAACAGTGGGAGGCCATACATGTAGTTCAGGTGAATACTGAAGAAGTGATCTGGGAAAAAATGGAGGACAATGCAATCAAGTGAAGTAGGAGTCAGGATATTAGTTGTAGATTTGTACATAAAAAGCTTTTGCCCTAATTCTGCTACATCATAGAAATACAAACTGGAGTATGCCTACCTGGATTTGGGTACTCATGCTAAATTCTGCTCTGAACTCCACTTGTGGCTGGATTGTTGCACCTTTGGTGGGACGCCACAAATGCTGCATAATCTTGTTACCTGTGGCTTTACAGGGTGGAATGGGACGTTTTGAGAACGACTTTTCATCTTGCTAAGCTTTGTACATCTCCAAAATAAGACGTAAAGGAAATGTTCTTGTAGTGGTGAGCAAAGGTGAGGTGTACATAGGTAGTGCTGAAACAGTGTGGAGCCATTTCCTTTTCACAGACCTGATCCTGTTATGCATCACTCATTTTTGCTCTGCTGATTCATTTGGAATTTCAGCCTTAGTATACTGATTGAGATTTTTGATCACTTGAGCTTTTTCTATGAAAATAGTTCTTACTAGAAGCAGCATTGTACCTGTGTACATTTGATACCTGTTCAGAACTTGCAAGAGGAAGTTCCTGAAAGTTCAGACATTTCTATTGGGTAAAGTCTCTGCCTGATTTGATTTTATTTGGTTTACATTGATTTATGTATGTCATCTGATTCACTAACTTTTTGTTTTATACTAAAGCATGTCCTAAATTAAATTAAATAATCCTGGAAGGAAGGGAGGTAACCGCTGTGACAGAGAGAATTCATGTCAGGCCAAAGGCAGGATCATGGAGTGGTGGTGCCTTTTTCTTTTCCTATTTCTTTTTCTTTTTCTACTTTTATAAGAGACAAGCCAAAAAACCTGGTTATCATCAAGCTAAAAGCTTTTGACTTATTAATGTTCTGGAATCACCTTGTAGCAGTGAGCAGCGAGCACTGCAGCTTGTCTGATGTGCAATGACTTGCATGGGTGGTGTTTCCTCTTCTTCCTGTTAGTCAGAGACACCTCTGTGCAACTTTGAACACTTAAAGTTTCATTGCTCACGCCTTTTATTCTGTTCACAACTGTCCTGCTCTTTGAAGTTCTCTGAGAAAGAGTCCACTAACCACAGTTTACCTTCATTCAAAACTGTGTGAAAAATTAAGACTGCATGCAGGCAGAATAATTGTTTTTAAAGTGGAGGAAAAATCCTCAAGGAACAACTGGTTGCATGGTCTCCATTGCTGACACACACTGTTAGATCTGTTATACTTCCATGAAGTATGATGTCAGATTTGTGGATGCCTATCCTGAAAGTGTGTGTGAGGATTTCCACGAGAGTGGGAAAAGTCTCTTATTTTCTCACTGCTGATAGATAGATGGATGCGTGGGCAAGATGCAAGCTTGACTTTGCAAGACTTTTTTCTTTCTCTTCCTTTTTTTCCACTTATTTGCATTTTTTCTCCAAACTGGAGCACACATTAGTATTTGCTAATTCTTTCAATTCTTTAAAATTTCTGTGAGTCAGACAAATTAATGTAGAAAAGCAGAGGCAAGCAGCTTTGTAGTGGTTGTTGTCTAATAGATGTGGCCTTTGTTTTGATTTGATAAAACAACATTGAGGTGTGTTTGTTTTTTAAACAGATGTTATTCAGAAGGATGAACAAATAGATTAATGTATTAACTCACTAGAGTTTATTAAGGTAATCACAAATGAACATTTCAATGATCATTTTGCAGGCATATAACAGTAAATCAGAAGATGAATAATGGCACTCTCTCCCCATTGAAATCCTCCCCAGGGCCAGAGCCTCACCACACTGCTTCCACCTTTGCTCCCAATTGCAAGAATCCATTTTCCTCCTAGGAACACATCACCAAGGATTAGCATCCAAAGGAAAGAAGCTCCACTGAGGATTATTCTCTGGGCAAAAGTCAAGAGGGAGCCCAGCTCAGCTTAGAACCTTGTTCTGGACAGTGCACTTGTAGGGAAGACAGTACACCTGTTGTTATATGGGCACACATATGCCCTCTGCAGCTTTTTTTTTTTGTTCAGAACCACACCAGCTAAACAGCATTACAGCAGCCAGATATCTGAGGCAACCTGCTACTTACAGCTCCCTCTAGGCAAGTGGCAAAACTCGAAGTCTGCTTTGAATAGAGGTTTTTCTGCTATAATAGATACCCTTCTGCTACTGATTAATGCTTGTGATTAATGAATTAGCCATCATTTTTCTGCCACCACTGTAGGAACAATATGTGAACCTCTGTGAAAGAGGAAATAAGAATAGGAAGCCGCTCACATCTAACAGCAAGAAACTGGAGGGGGGCGTTAACACCGAGTGCTGACAGCAAAGACGCCTCTCAAACTCTGTCAGCATCATTTCTTCAGAGTTTTCCTAGGCTGGATGAAGGTGCCAGAGTACTCATGGATTTTCAGATATACTTACAGCTTCAGCTATAGCTCTGGTGGGTTCTGTCATGTAGAAGTGAGTTATGAAGCAAATCCTATTCCCCTCTGCCTCTGCATGATCTGCCAAAGAATGTGGGAGAAACATGTAGCTCTGATTCAGGAAAATGAGAGAGACTGCATCCTTCTGCATAGCCTTTACTTTGATGGGAATAATTTCCAGCTTCCTCTGACTAAAGAAAACTAACAAGTAAAGCAAAAGAAAAACCTACATGAACTATAGGGTTGCCAGGGCATTATGAACAATCCAGTATCAGGGGACAGTAGGCTTAATGGGACACCAAATAAGGTGGTGGTGAGAAATATGAATGCTTCTGCATAAAATCAAAAGTCATAACATTTTTTTTAACAGATTGTTTTGCTGTTCTTGCTTGGTCTTCTCACTTTGGATCTCTCCTTGTTCCAAAGCTGCCCCATTTATAAAATAGCCAGGCATGACCTGCCAGATGTACCAAATGCCAGTCCAGGCTTGTGTACAATCTGCTGTCAAGGGGAATAAAAAGCATTTCTTTCTGGATCTTCTCCTGACACTGTGGCCTGATCACTGTCTCCAACTGATGTATATCACTGCACCTTCCCACTGGAGCAGATAACTCCTGCAATGCATTTCCTGCACTGGGAGAGCTCCTCCAAACCCTCATAACTTAAACCCCATTGTATCCATTTTTCAGTCTCCTTTTCCCTCTCCCTTGGCCGTGCTGCTGGCAGCAAAGGCTGTACAGATTGCTGGCTACTCTCTGGTAACTTATTTTGTATCTGCCCTTGTCTGTGTGATGAGAAGCTGAGCCAACTTTGAGTTCAAGACTAGCCTGCCAGCCCTTATACATTTGCAGATTTAGCTGAGAGGAACTAAGTGCATTTGAGAGACTTTCAAGTTAGCTGCTGAGAGACTGACATCCCCTAGAGGTGGTGTCAATAGTCACAATTAATGGCAAAATCTTGTTACAATTAATATGGTCACAAATTAGTATTTGAATGTGACTAGACAGTAGATTTTTTTTTTTTTTAAGGGGACAAATCTCATGCTTAATATAACAGCAGTTATAGACCCCTCAGTGATGTAAAACCAAAGTTACCAAGGAATATAAGAAGGGGATAATGGTTTGAGTTGCTTCTCCCACGTTTCATTGTTCCCCTCACCATAACTCCACAATTCATTTGCACTCATTCTCTGTAAGGTGAGAAGACAACAGGTAGAACAGATGTTTTATCTAAGGCTACCCAGCTCCTCCCAAGTGCAGGCTCAGGTAAGTCCCAGGGGCTCATGGATTCCAGCAGCACAAACGGGAAAGCCCAAACATTGTCCCCTCTGCCTGGCCTGTCCATTGACTGGGTGTTAAGTGCTTTTGAAGAATAAATAAGAATCACCTTTTCACTGAGGTTTTAGATCATGCACCACTCCAGCTGTACAGTTTGGAAGGAACCTCTAACTACTTCTCTTAAAAAAAAAAAACCAATGCATTTTTCAGACCTTCTGCTAAAATCAGACCATAATACTTAAAAAAGTGGTGAAAAAGAGTTTGTAAAGTCACCATGAATACCAGATCTGCTCATCAGAAGATTTTTAAAAGCTATAATAGAAGCTTTGTCTGAGTTGCTGACAGCTGTGCTGCTTGAGGGGTGAGGCTGATGGGCTCTGATGAGAGCACTGCTAGAGAGGAGGACATTCTGGCATTACATTCTGTGTAATGCAGCTTCAAGCATCTGAAGTTATTTGCTCCTTTCCTACAGTATTCATGATCAAGGCTGTTGCAGAGTGGTTTGACTTGTTTCTTAAGTCTTTTTCTAATTAAAAAAATGACATAAATATAATGTTCTAAAATATTCATTGCGAAAAACAACATTCTTCATCCTTCCCATGAACAGTTTTCATGAAACAAACATATGCTCTTAAAGATCAACAGGAAGACAATCATTTTAACAGGTAAAGGTCTGCATGGTACAAGAGGTCATGGCAGGGATTTTTTATAAGAGTGCTTAGGATGATAAACCATATATACAAACTCCAGGACAATCACAGCAGCTGTCACCAACCTTCCTATCAAGCAGCTGTGAGGACAAGTTCTGCCCGCTTTGTACAAAGGAAATTGTTCTTTGTTTAACCTACATTAGTCATTCAGGGAAGAATAATCCTCATATTTCATAGTATAGTTGAACAAAAAAAAATCCATTTCATACAATTTTTTTATCTTCTCAATTTGTTCTGGGGTCAAATGTCTGAGATACTCCAAGGTGATATCACCATCAGTTCTTTTCTCTGAGCTGTATCTCTTCAAGCTGGGGTATTGCAGGCTCTCTGGTGCACCAATGACCTTCAGAACATGCTCAGAGTCCAACCCAAGAGTTTCATACTTGCCCACAACATCATAGTTAATGTTGCAAGGATCACAGAGCAGAAACATCGGCTTCCAGTGAATGTCAAGAGCATGTGGTGGTTTTGATGTAATGAAGCTGACAAACTCCTGGAAACTCACTTTTTCAGAAGAACTTTTATTTTTCCTGAACATTGCCCTAATCTCATTAGCAACAGTGGTACTGTAGAATGGTTCAGAGTGCAGGAGTTTGTCTCTGTAAGCTGAAACCAGCCGCTCCAAGGGATGCCTGGTGAACATCACTTTGGTGTAATTGCTCAGAAATTCCTTTTGTAAGGCAGGAGGGTAAGACACCAGCCTTTTGATTAGTGATGTATGGTGGATGTTGTCATGCCCAATATCAGAAGCCTCTGCATTGAAGTCTGATTGAAGAAGAAAAATAGTTCTCTTCCAGTTGGAGCAGCCTACCTTGGGCACCTCACAGTAGATAAATTTGTGCTTGTGCTCCACAAAGAGCTGGCTTGCAACATGAGAATCCAATTTGCTGTTTGGTTTATTAAGGTTGTTCTTCAGGCAGACAGAAGCCAGTGTGTTTTTCCGACTGTTTTGAATTGCCAGCCAATTTTCGGTGGGATTGGGAAAAACATCTGTAACCAAGCAAGAAATTTAAATTATTTTAGGGAAATAGGTTTGTATAAATCTCTTTATCTGTGGCAATCATAGCATTTGATCTATCACCTTGCATACAAAATCTAATGATGATGCTAAAATCTCTTTTTTTTTTGCTATAACCAGACTAGACTATGGCAAACCTGCAATAAACTACCCTCCCTAGTGAAACATTTATTAAAATGAAAACTTTCAATATGTTAGCAGTGTCAGTCTAAGCAAGTTTGATGTTCTAACATTGTGTTTTTGTAGTGCTATCCTCATATATTGCTGAGATAACTACCACAGTGACAAGGCTTTGGATATTTTCACGGTATTGTTTATATCTTGGGCTCCATAGTTACTTTCTAACACTTGGGAAACGTGTCTCTTTCTATAAAACATTAAATCTTATTGGTAATTTCTTGACTTACCTGTTAGGTTTTTTTGTCTCTTAAAGAAAAACCCAAAAAGAAATATCCCAAATAAAAAATTTGGGAGAAGGAAAACTAACACCTTCTGGTTCATGTTATTCTCACAGGAGGGAAAATTACGTGGTCTCTAAAGTAGAAATCCGTCTTTCTGTCAACAAGGAAAGATAATTCAGGTTAGATTTTGTATGACTGATATAACAAAGATAACATATGAATCTCCTACAGAATTTAGGACAGCAGCAAGACCTTTCAAGTCCTATAAAAATAGGCTTTGCTAATAAGTAAAAATTCTCTTATGGAAAAGACTCACCACAATTATATTGTTAAACCAAATAGATAAATAACATATGTCCATTTAGAAGTATTCCAAAATTCCTCATTTTCACAGAACAATGTGAATTAACTCCTTATGAGCAAATACTCCTCCCTTGTCTTTTAAAGCTGTCAGGGAACAATAACTTCATTTAGGATTACAAATTTGTATTTTTTTATAGCCCCTAAAACGCAAAGATCTCTATAACCTGTAACAGGTGTGTCTGCAAAAACCATGACACATCCAGGATGAATTTCTTGCTGCTTATTACCCAGAAGCTTTGCACTTTAGACAAATAAAACACTGCAGGAAAAATTCTTTCCTATTCCTGAAGAGAATCCACACCACTAATTTGAATTCTCCCATTCTCCCTCTCCAAAGACACTGCATGGTATATATGTTTGCTACCATTGCTGCTGCAGCAGGCATCCCAAAATGGTTCAGTAGGACAGAAAATGTATAGAAGTGGTAGAGGAAAAAAAAGAAAAGAAGCTGTTCCATGTTCTCAGATAAAAGGGAAGAAGGTAGTCCAACACAACGTATTTTCTCTCTTGTGCTCACTCATTGTCTCCTTGCACTCCATGGAGAGAGACCTATCTAAATCCTCTCTGTTTCCTCCTGTAGAGGGCTCTTCATCAGCATGCTTTTATTGGAAGATGCAAAATTAGGTGCAAAACATTAACTACTGGCAAACTTGACATTCTCTTCCTGTTCCGTGAAGTCTGCACAATCAAAAAAGTCAAACAGCACTGTCTTCCTTTCCCACTCCTCCAGTTTCCACCCTGAACCTGCTGGCAATAAGCACATCATTGCCTGGATTACTTGAGGATGTAATTTTTTTTTTTTCTTTTTCAATTTGTCTTATTTTGTTTTGCTTCTACAAGATACCACAGGACCACTTTGGAAGTTGCTTGTGTGCCACCCATTGTGTGGATGTACATAAACCTCAACTGCCATAATAGAAACTGGTTTCTGGTGTTTCTGAGACAGCAGTAGAGGCAACACCAGTTACATTGCTGAAACTGTACTTCAGCACAAGGGTTCCTCCTTTCAGGGCTGACACATGATTTTGATATCACTCACTTTTACCAGGATATCTGCAGACTCAGAGTTAACAGCATTACTCACAATTAAATCTCTCTTAGCATAGGTATGACCTGGGGAATGGAGAGGGCACTGTTCACTATCTCTGTGTTAAAAAGTTACTTGTATTTACAATTAAATGTTACAATACTCATTCAAATTAATGCAGTATTCTTAGTCACACTTCCATTTAGCCTATCCTTTTTCATTTTCTTGGCTGTATAAGATCATTGTAAAGGCTACAAGAAAGCTTATGGGAAGATTTGCCTTTAACCTTTTCTTCACTTGTACGTCAATTCTCAATTAGGTCCTTGGGTCCTAATGCATCAGAGGCTGTTTTCAAGGCCAGCTAAAGGCAGTCAGGTTGTTCATTGATCTCATGATGGCCAAGACTGAGTGTTCCCTTTTTACTCTCTTTCAGAAGCAGTTTGGAGACACAACTTCACACTGTGTAATAATTAAAATCAAGATGACTCTAAATAATTCTGCACAAGGACTCCTTGTTAGATTATGCTGAGCAGAAAGATACTGGGCTTCATTCACTTTAAATGTGGTCACTTCAGAGAAGTAATTTTATCATACCTGTCTCAGGAATCAGAAAATAAACTAGATTAATTTTACCCTATTTAGATACTTGTATCATGCATATTTACTAATTACATTATCACTAGAGAATCTAAGTTCTGATATAAGACATGTTTCATGTGGAAACGTGTCAATGAGTCACCACAGGGAAATAAAAGGGCTTCCTTCCTTGCGGGAAAGAAACTGTTTAGCAGCTAGTTAAACACAGAAGACAATTCCTCTTCTAAGACTTATGCATATTTGTGGAAGCAAAAGAATCCTTAATTAAACTCAGGAGAACAATCAGACCATAAGGAGGGATAGAACAAGCTCCAAGACGACAGGTGAAAACTTTCTGGACTCCTTAGAAAACTTCACAGAGCAGACTGGCAGTAGGAGTTAACACTGCCCTCAGCAAGTGAGGTCAACAGGACATGAAGCTACCTTAAGGTGAAGTCCAAAGCCTCCTTCAGATTTCAGATGTGAGACCCCACTACTGAGTTCTGTGTAGTGCAAAGTTTCCAGTGATGAAAATCACCTAAGGGAAACCTGAGGAAGAGGAGGAAAGAAAATTCTGAGAGCCATTTTGTCAGAGGGATAAGTCACCTGGAAATTAAAAAGGAGTGAAAAAATACAAAATGAAAAGCACCTCTGTCAGTAGGTGTCAGTGTCAGTAAATCAGACGAACTTTTCCTTATATTTATTATGGCTTTTCCATGTACTTGTAATTGTGTTTGCTGTTTAAGATGCAACAAGTTAATATTTCTCTTTGCATTTTCCCTCATCCTACGCGGAATTAGGTGTGATTTTAGGTAATTACAAGGCATTCCTCAGTCAAGGAGTGGTGAGTCTACTAACACAACAAGTCCATACTAAACAGATTAGTTCTGCTGTAACCAAAGGGCAGCACTATGGGCTCTCCAGGCAACATAGAAAGACATCATCACATGACTCATGAAAAAAACCAAAAAAACAAACAGAAACCTCTTCAACTGCAAAGAAACAAAACAGAAAACAGGGACACAGGCATCTAAATGTCTCTTTGGATCTTACATATTCCCAGAAAAAAAGATCTTAAAAATTAAATGTAAGGCATTAATCTGCACTGAATGAAGCTTAAAATCTTCCAGATAACAGCCTTACAGTGCACTGCTGGCTTTTCCTTGTTCCTCAGATCACATCATTATAAATCAACTACACATAGAAATGGATTGATATTTTCAATATTTGCATGTCTTACTGGATTCTGCAAATTACATAAAAAATAATTTTCTGCTTCTTTTTTGGTCATTATTAAAGAGTAAGCCAGGCAGCAAGAATTATCCTCTTAGAATCCTTTCTTGCAGGAGTCTTTCAGAAGGATTGCTATCAGGAGATTTTTGAGGCCTGTCAGTTAATTAGGGTTTAATTCCTTCAGTGTGTGTCCAGTTGTTTTTATGTCTTTCTAGTTTCTAAGCCAAAACATGTTGTCATGTCAAGTAAAATGTTTTACACAGTTCTAAATCCACTGCATCAATGCTATTTCCTTAATCAACCAAAGCCAAGCAAAATAGCAAATCGGTCTGGTGACATCTGTTTCCTGTAACATAATCCAAAGTTTCCATATGAGAATAACCAGAGCAATTGTTCAAGGCAAGAGTGGTAACAAATGGGGACTAGATTACTGGAGAAAGCAGTGCCAATCATCTCATGAGCATGCAAAATGGCAAAGAAGACCTGAAGCCCTCACAAAATTAAAAATACTCACTGAATTCAAGCCTTCTTTGCACTGCTGATAATTCCCCCGTGGCCCTCTACAATTCCATTTTAAAGACTCTTTTCTTCCTGATAAACACACTGCAAGTAACAAAACCAAAAACATTGTATCATGTTGCTCATATCTTTGCCGTCACATTTGCTGACCACGCTTCTGTTTACTTCAAGAAATTTCTGACAATTGTCTGCTTTTAATTACTTTCAACATCTCCCTTTTACAGGGTACACTGGGTATGGAGGTGTCTGGCAACCTACTTGCACATCCCCTGCATGGCAGGCAAGACTGATCAAGAAGAGCTCTCTATCTCTATATTGTACTTTTCCAGGGGTGTCAAAAAATTGTCATATGCTGGAGTTATTAGATATTTTTTCTGTTAAATTGCTTTTTCTTGGTTCATTTGAGTCACACTTGCTTTATGTTTTGTGATACTAGACCTTCTGCAACCTTCCCCTATGTCTGTTACTGGTCTGGACTTTAGCTGAGATTGTGTAGCTCACACACCAGCTTTGGCTTTATAATGACTTCCTTTCCCCCTGACTAAAACAGTCTGATAGAAAATCTTTAGTACTCTTTCAATTTAGAGAAACTCAGTCAAAGATATTTTAGTGATAGTCACAGGACTACACGACCTAACACATTGAGCTTAGACCGAAGTTTTTCGTCCTGCCATGCAGATTTATTTCTACAACAGGCACCAAAGGTTGCATTGCCTTGCATAGGTATCATTTGTACACTGTTCTGCCTGCTGAAACCATGATTCATAATATAGCATTTCCTAATCCTTCTCTTGGAACTTCTGAACCATTGCAATTGAAAAATCTTCAGTATTTATAGAAATATAGCAAAAAAAAAATAAAAATACTTGTATACTCTCATAAACAATAAGAAGTACTATAGCTGGAAATAATTAATAATGTTAAGTCTTTTTGTGTGGCCCCTATTACCCAAGTACAGAAACACATGTGCACACACATGAATAGTTCCAAAACACATTAATATCAGTTACACTGGCATATTATTTGTTCCAAGTAAACTAACTAAGTAGGCTGATAATGATATAAAGTCTTCTGATAATGAACTTACAAAGGCATGTCTCAAACTAGTTTTTTACATACAGACCTTGGTCAGAGCTGAGCATGTGGGGTGATCCTCTGCACCCACTTGATAAGTAGAATTTTCCAGATTAAAAGAATGAAATTACAACAATACTTATTTGTGTTCCTGATACATTTGAAACCAGAAGTAAAAGAAAGTACCAGTATGGCAGCTCAGTGGAAGGTAGGGAAAAATCTCTGAAAACAGATAACATTCTCAGTTGCTGAACCCCATTCTGTACTTAAGCCCCTTTAATCCCTTCAAAAAGACAACTGCAAATACATACATACTGATACGTGCATGAGTACACAGAAGGCGAGGAGGGGTGATGGGTAGAAAGCCTCCAAGAGCAGTGAGGACAGGAAAACCAAGCTCTGGATGCAGTTCTGCATCTGCTGTTCTATCAGACTGAATTGCAAGAACAAGATCCTTTTTCAACCAAATCTGCAGCACCCTTGCTTCAGTTCAGTTTGTGATGGGTGGACAGGAGAGAGAAAGACCCCAGAAAGTAGAGCCTTAGCAGCCAGGCTGGCCTGTCCATGAAGAGGAAAATCAGTAATGGGTTGGGAAACTCACACCATTTACAGACAGCTAAGGGCTAGGAAAATGCCTGATGTGGGTAATTTTGCCAACAAGAGACAGCATTTGACATCATGTCATTTGCAGCAAGGGTTGAATGGTGTTAGGTGAGAATGGGTAGAAGCTCAGGGGGGAGACAAGATATGGGCTAGGCTGGGAGCTACTGAGGAAAAGGCTGACTAGGGCATCCTACAGAACAACACACTTCACAGCACTGAGGTGGGTACAAAGCAACAATTTCCATTACAGGCACAATCTAAAACTCTTGTTCTGTGAAATGGTCACCATTACTGCATCAGACTTCTTTCTGGTCTCAGCAACTGTAGTGATACCTTCCTTGCTGCTGTCATTAATCTGCCTATTATTCTCATTACACCACTTCTTATGGGTGCCTTTTGGCTTTTCCTTCTCTGCTTGATTCTGTGTCATCTACTTGTCTTACCTTCCGAAGTTTTTTGTTGTCTATCATTTCTCCTGCAGTATTAAAAGCTCAGCTTTATTTTCTGATCCATCATATTGGCAGCCCCTGTTACCATTAGCCCTTGATAACAAAGAAAAAGTTCTTTATCCTCTGCTCCCCCTTCTTTTGGATGAAATTTGTGAAGCATCTACAGAGCCATTACATTTTCACCTAAAATCACTCCTAAAAGTTTTCCCTTTCAGGGGTGCCAACACCAATTATGACACGAGCGTGCTCAAAGTATTACCAACCAGTTCACAAAAGAGCAAGTGAAAGGAAGAGCCGATTTGGGGATGAAAAGGACCAAAGTGACAAAGTGAAGAGAAAAAAAAAAGAGTACATGGGGAAAGGCAGTGGCGAGTCTGACAGAAAAGCTCCCAGAGAGGCAGGAAGCAGAAACACAAGGAAAAGTGGCAGAACTGAGGGCCAAGGAAATAGGTTCTGTAGCTTGTTCCAACAATATTGTGGAAAAGGGAGGTTGAGAATTGGACTGAAAAAGACAGAAAGTGTAATTCAGGAAAGATGAAGAAGAACAAATTCAAAGAAATTAGTAGAGAAAGCAGTATCCAGTAAACTACCACAGACGTTTAAAAAGGAATGAGACAATATGCACTGCAGTCACTCTTGCACTGGAATTCAGCCCTTACTATGTAATAAAACTTGTGCCTCTTTTCCTTCCTGGAACTGCAGCCAGAAACTGGACTTTTGATTTCCTAAGAAGAGATATTCAGTGAGGATACCTGGCTGGTGAGTGGGCCCAGCTTGGCTGGAACCCAGGAATCTGGAGAGGAATTCTGCTGCAGCATCACTGGGGCAGGGACTGCTGGCCTCAGGAGGCTGACACGGGGTCCTGGGCTCTGGGCAGTGGGGGCAGCCCCAGGGGAAGGGACAGAGCTGTCACTGCTTTTGGTGCCTGACATCTGGTGATGGGCTGTGGGGCCTTCTTATCTAAACACTTAATTCAAAATTCCATGCACTTGTCAACTTAAATCACAAATTGCAAAACCAATCACAGGAGAACAAACTTCACCGCTTTCTTTTAGGGAATCTAGGTAAGCCTAAAAAACTTGGAAAGAAGGAAAAAGGAGAAAAAAGGAATTATGGAAGAAAAGTTTAGAACAATGCACCTTGGCCAGGGTGGCAATGAATGATCTCCTCCCAGGCTTGTTTCATGGAGATGAGCCTCACAAAATCCCTCTGTTTTGCCATGTGTACAACTAATTCTCTGCCTTTGCTTATGTCTTACTGTCCTCTCCCAAGTTTCTCTTCTCAGTTAATGTCAGTAATACAAATGTTTTCCTTGCCATTCGAGTCTATCCACCTCGTCTCAGACCTAGATCCTCTTTGTCCCCTCCTGCTTTTCCCTCTCCTGTGCAAGCTTGATTCATTTATTCCTGGCATTGCACACCAAAGAGCACAGTCAAAACTGTAAAAGTCCCAGTTATTTAGCACACCACCCCCAGGAAAACTCCTGTTCACTGTTCACCTTGTTATGCCCTTGTGTCCTCACCCCTAGTACCCCATAACCATAATTGATGACAACTATGACCTCTCTTTCCCTCTTTACACTCCAGTGAATACAAAGCGTTTCTGCTTAAATGGTTTTCCTTTTTGCTCCAATCTCCTCCAACTTCTCCTGTCATTCTAGGCTAGATTTTG